TATCATATTGCCTCTATATAAATCCATGGTACGTCCACACCTTGAATACTGCGTGCAGATGTGGTTGCCCCATCTAAAAAAGATATATTGGAATTGGAAAAGGTTCAGAAAGGGGCAACAAAAATGATTAGGGGTATAAAACGGATTCCGTAAGAGGAGAGATTAATAAGACTGGGACTTTTCAGCTTGGAAAAGAGGTGACTAAGGAGGGATGTGATAGAGTCTATAAAATCATGAGTGGTATAGAGAAAGTAAATAAGAAAGTGTTATTTACTCCTTCTCATAATACAAGAAGAAGAGGCCACCAAATGAAATTAATAGGTAGCAGGTTTAAAACACACACAAGAAAGTATTTTTTCATGCAACGCACTGACAACCTCTGGAACTCCTTACCAGAGGGTGTTGTGAAGGCCAATACTATAACGGGGTTCAAAAGGGAGCTAGATAGATTCATGGAAGATAGGTCCATCAATGGCTATTAGCCAGGATGGGCAGGAATGCATGACCGGGTGGTCCCTACCCTCTGTTTGCCAGAAGCTGGGATTGGGTGACAGGGCATGGATCACTTGATGATTACCTGTTCTGTTAATTCCCTTTGGGGCACCTGCCATTGGCCACTGTCCGAGGACAGAATACTGGGCTTGATAGACCTTTGGTCTGACCCAATATGGCTGTTCTTACATACTTATATGACAACAGTTTTCAAGTATGTAAAAGGTTGTTACAAAGAGAAGGGTGCAAAATTGTTCTCAACCTCTGAGGATAGGACAAAAAGCAATGGGTTTGAATTGAAACAAGGGAAGTTTAGGTGGGAAATTAGGAAAAACTTCAAAACTGTCAGGGTAGTAAAGCCCTGGAACAAATTACCTAAGAAGGTTGTGGAATCTCCATCACTGGAAATTTTTCAAGAACTGGTTGGCCACCTGCCAGGGATGGTCTGTTATTACATAGTCCTGCCTTGATTGCAGGGGATTGGACTAGATGACCTCTTGAAGTCCCTTCCAGTCCTACAATTTTATGATTCTATGATTACATACAGCAGCTAAGAGGAGAAGAATCAGGCCTGAAATGCACACTAGGAAGGGATTTGGAAGAGAAGACAGCACCTGGCCGGCAGGAACAGGGCCACTCTCCCGGCCTTGGGGGCAGCAGGCAGGGTAGAAAGCCTGCAGCTGCGGGCGGGCCGGGGGAGGGAAGAGAAGAGCCCTGTGGAGTCAGGGTGGAGTAGAGGAGTGGGGCTGGGCAGGGGGGACGGAACGCAGCATTATGAAAGTTTATAGGTGGGGCTGAGGAACATGAATCTGCTGGGGAATTTGCCAGGGAGGCGATTCAAGGCCGGAGTGACACGGGTGCGGAGCACACACCGGCAGGGCCGGTCAGGTCAGGCGAGACTGGGGGAGGAAGAAGCTCGGATGGGGGCGGGAGGAAGAGCCCGGAGATTGATGCCTATGAGCCCCCTCCCGATCCCCCACGTACCACACCCGCCCTCGTCTCCCGCTTCCCTCTGCGGAGCGCCCGGTCACGGGGCTCGGCATCACCCGCGCCCCTGCCTGTCTCTCGTTCTCAGCCGCGCCCCGTTCGTGCCCCGGAGCAAGCGCTCCCCTCCCGCCAGCTGCCGGCCCCCGACATCGCTCGCGGCCCGGGGCGCGGCCTGTACCATGGGCTGAGGGTCGCGCTCGGTCATGGCGGCGGCTCGGGCGCCTCGCTGGGGCAGGCGAGCGGGGCGGGGGGCTCGTGAGCCAGCTGAAACTAAACGGCTCCAACCACCGCCGGCCGCGTCCTGAGTTACCAGTAGCCCCGCCCCGTTACTAAGCGCGTCTCTTGTCACGTGACAAGGTCGTAGCCTATCTGCGACCAGAGGATAGCCCCACCCTCCACCCAGGCTTGAGCAGCCGCTCAGATCGGTCGGTTCGGCACTCGCTTGATCGGGTCTGTGGTGTTGGCAGTGCGGAGGTGGCGGCCCCGGAGCCTTGCGCGGCCCCCGCTCCCGGAGTGCGGCGATGGGGCTGGGCTCTAGCTCTGAGATCCCCGACGGGGGCGCTGAGGGCTTTCATGTGCACGGGGTAAGGAGCGGGGGATCTGCCCCGGAGTCCTGGGAGGGGACCGGATCTGGCCCCGGGTAGGGGCTCGGGGTGACCGGGATCTGGCGCCGGGGAGGGGCTGGGGGGGGACCGGGATCTGGTCCCGGAGAGGGGATGGGGGGGGGACTATTAGCCAGGACGGGTAAGGAATGGGGTCCCTAGCCTCTGTCTGTCAGAGGGTGGAGATGGATGGCAGGAGAGAGATCACTTGATCATTACCAGTTAGGTTCACTCCCTCTGGGGCACCTGGCATTGGCCACTGTTGGTAGACAGGATACTGGGCAAGATGGACCTTTGGTCTGACCCGGTACGGCCTTTCTTATGTTATACAGGACTGGGGGGGTGGGGTGGGAAATGGACAATGGAAATACCCCAGGCAAGTTCCACCCCAAAATGCTACTGAGCATTAAATGTTGTCAGACTTCGCAGACATGTTAAATATTTGCCATACTGGCTTGTGCTGGTGTCTCCCCCCTTCCGAGCCTCCACCTGTTCCCTTCTTTCTCTGGAAGAACAGCATGGCAATCATTTAACTCAATTTTAAGGCATCAGCTGGATGTTTGTACATCTTAAATTTACTGGAGTTAAAGGAGGGGTTTGGCCTGATCTTCCTATTTAACTCTCCAGGCAAAATTAGTACATCCTAATTGTTTTATGATGCACACTATATATATATATATATATACACACACACACACACACCGAGGGGCAATAACGTCTCCCCATTATCCTTGCAATCAACTTTAATTATAAAAACCTAGTTTTGCTTTCCTATAACTATGGATTGGAAAACAGGCTTGACCTGAAATTTGTTGGATTTACACTGAAAGTGAAGAAGAATATTTACGTAAATTTTGATGAATTTTCTTCAAATGGTTCCTGAGTTACAGGTAATCTTAAAAATTACCTTGATATGAGCTTTGACTTCTTTCTAGTCATTTAATATCCTCTTCATTCCTCTTGTCCTGGTGTTCAGAATCAGTCATTAAGTGGCATTAATTCTTTTTAACATTACAAAGATGCACCATTCTAGACAGGAATTAATCTCTGCTTAGACCATAAGATAATACATTTGAGGAAATTGGTTTCTCCCGGCAGTCCTTAACAATTATTTTGTATGGCATGATGCCAGCAGATGTGTTGTTTTGAATGTGTGTCTTGGAGCATAAATGTCAGGCAAAGATGTTGTTGATAGGCTAATTTGCATAACACTGCACCTGCCTTTTAACTCTTGGTATATGGCAACCTCACAATATAAGAGTTCACATATTATTGTTACATGCTTCTCTACAGTTAATCAGCTGTTCACATGTTTCAGTAAAGAAGCTGTACACTATCCACAAGAATAGAGTACAGTTTTAGGCCAGTGCATCAACTATCTGTATGTAATCTGCTTTGCCTTTGTCCTCTGCTGTGTTTATGGAGTCTGGAGAGGCCTTGGCTCCTGAAGCACATTTCTGGATGGAATAAAAACAAATGTATATTTATTCAACTCCTCCTTATATCAGGAATAACATGATTTTTAGCCTCCTGATCTCAAACGTGATTATCATTTATTAATCATTAACAAAGTGCTCACCCCTGTAGAGGAGACAAAAGCAGTCCCTACCCCCAAGAAACAAATAGAGCAGAACTTTCAATGTTGTTTTACCATCTAGAGTAGGTAAAGAGGAGGGCTCCTTATTGTCAATAGTCTGTGTCAGTGGTGACTGGTGTATAGAGTGTGTTATGGTACTGCCCCCAACAAAGTAGGCAAGTGCACACTTTGTATTTTTTAATTTGGATATATACGGATGTGTGTGTGTACATGTGAATCACAGCGTATTTAGTGACATACACATACTCTATAGATAAAATGTGTACAATAATAAAATAATA